CTTGTTTTTAAAGAAAATCTCAACTCCAGTAATCCATTAAAATTGCCCTGCAAGATAAGGCTAATTTGCCAGATGGGCATTGGGCACCGGGCCAGTAAATGCTGAGCAAGACCAGGCTGCTCTTTGCTGCCAGGCCTTTCCCACACCCTCTTGCTATGCCCCTACCCGCAGGCCATGCTGGTTTTCATCATCAGTGGCCTCGTCATCCTGGCCTACTGCTCCCAGGCCAGCAATGAGAGGACCTACCAGGAGGTGGTGTGGGCTGTGTGTGGCAAGCTGACAGGCGTGCTGTGTGAGGTGGCCATTGCCACCTACACCTTCGGGACCTGCATCGCCTTCCTCATCATCATCGGGGACCAGCAGGACAAGAGTGAGGTCCCCCCTCTGTACCCCCCCCCCAGCCCTGGGGGTCATGCGGTGGGTGGGAAAGAGCATGGAACACCTGCCCAAGGCCTGGCCTGGGCCCGGCATTCATCTGGGAGTCCTCCCTCCTGGCTGCTGGGCCCATTAGACAGATGGAGGTCCCAGCAGAGGTGGAGGACCACACCCTGCAGTAGCCTGGCATCACGTTCCCTCCTTCCTCCCTGTGCAGTTATAGCTGTGATGGCAAAGGAGCCCGAGGGGGCCGGCGGCAGCCCCTGGTACACAGACCGCAAGTTCACCATCAGCCTCACTGCCTTCCTCTTCATCCTGCCCCTTTCCATCCCCAGGGAGATCGGCTTCCAGAAATATGCCAGGTTCGGAGGCCCCACCCCAGCCTGCGCTGGACAGCAGCTCTGATCACAGGCAGCTGGAGACCCAAGGGCTGCAGGGGAACCCCTCTGCTCCATGCCACCTCATCTCCTGGGGCAGCAAGAGTGGGCAAGGCAGGGTAGACCGGGGCTTGCAGGGGTTCCGGCATAAGACCTTCCTTTTTTTTTTTTTTTTTTTTTTTTTTTTTTAAGACCTTCCTTTTGTGTCAGCAGCAAGGGAGACAGTGGCTCTTTGTATCAGTGAGAGATTCAGTTCCAAATGTCCTTGTCGAAGAAGGGATGCATGATAATCATGTGTGAAGGCTGTCTCCTAGCCTGGGCCTTGTCTTTCCCACGGAGGATGGGACTCTTGATCATTTGGGATTGTCAGCCTGGCAGCATTTTCCATGCAGCTTGGTATGAAGGGAAGGGACTAGCTTCCTGGCTCAGAGTCTGAAAAGCTGTGGGATTCTAAGCTGTTTCCTGTGATCCTTTATCGAAGGGGTCACACTCAGTGTCTCCAAGGTTTCCTTTAATGTTGACTTCCCAGTATTTGTGCCTTCAACCCTCCAGCATCTCCTACTTCTCAAAGGCCCTGCTTGCACCTCTCGCCAAGTCTGGGCTGCTCTGATTGAAGTAGCAGATGTGCTTTGAAGCCCAGCCCCCTGCTGTGGTCTCTGAGCCATGGAGCTGAACCACCTCATTTCCCAGTGGCCACAAGTGTCAGTCTGGTCCCCTCCTGGCTTCCTAAATGTGGCTTGTTTCTCTGAAACTTATGTCTCATGCATTTCTTGAGTCTTTGTTTGGGATAGTCTCCCAGTTGGTTCATTAGACACTTGTGGTCACTAAAGTTAAGGGTGGATGTCCCTGGGGATGGAATGAGAGAAAAGGCAGCTGGGGATAGGGGGGAAGAAGCTTAATCTATCCTTCCTGGCAGCTTCCTGAGCGTCGTGGGCACCTGGTATGTCACTGCCATCGTTATCATCAAATACATCTGGCCTGATAAAGAGATGACCCCAGCGGACATCCTGAACAGGTGGGTGAGGGCCCCCGGGAGACACATGGGGTAGAAGCTGCCACTCGGGCCCCAGGAGGTGCTGGGTCAGGCATCAAAAAGCCACACAGGTGCTCTTCCCAAGGCTCATTAGCTCATTGGGGCTTGACTCATTGGTCATTTTAGGAAGGAGGCAAGAGGTCCTGATCTCTTTTTGCTGGAGAGAAGAGTGACAGCAGGAGATGAGGGAGACTTTGCCACTAATGTCCAACAGATGAGCCAATGTGAGACTAGGCCTCAGGTTACGGAAGCTGCCAAGGTGGAATTGCACATCTGTTTCAACATGTGCTTATCTGTAATATCTGTATCTTCCACGTGAGGATGAATCCATTTTCTTAATTAAAAAAAAAAGTTTCCTTCTTGAAAGGAACAAATCAGAGAAGCAAAAGCCCAAGTGCAAGAGCCAAAAGTTCGGGATTTTGGTCCCAGGAGGGCCTTCCAGAGCCTCAGTTTACTGACCTGTAAATGGAGATGTGTCCTCTCCCAGTCCCCAGACTTCTGTGGGTTGAATGTGTGCATGCTGGCTGGTGGAGGCCGTGGGGGGCTGAATGAAGAGTAAGAGCATGGCGGCGGTTGGTGACTCTGAGGGGCTCCCGGGCAGCAGCATCTTGTGTGTTTGTCTGCAGGCCAGCTTCCTGGATAGCCGTGTTCAATGCCATGCCCACCATCTGCTTCGGATTTCAGGTGCTAGTTGCAAGGTCCCTTTTGTCCCCTTAGCTCACTCCCCATCCTGGGATGGAATCCACGTTACAGGCAGGATGGGGGAGTCCTGGAAGGAAGGATGGAGTGGGGGCCCCAGGACTTGCCCCTTATCCTTGGGGGTGAGGTCACTTGCCCACCATGACCCTGCCCTTCACCCTGACAGTGCCATGTGAGCAGTGTTCCCGTCTTCAACAGCATGCGGCGGCCTGAGGTGAAGACCTGGGGTGGGGTGGTGACGGCCGCCATGGTCATAGCCCTCGCTGTCTACATGGGCACAGGTGAGTGCTCCCCTCCGAGGGCAGGGCTTAGAGGGCTCCCACTTTCCCTCTTTGTCCCCGAGTCGTCTGGCCCAGGATTTCCTGGGGACAGCCCTGCACTCCCAACACGTCAGACACTTCTGTAGGCACTGGCTTGAACTTGGGCCACCCTGGGCCTCCTCCTGCCCAAATGAGAAAGATGTATGCATGCATTCATTCAGCAGCTCTCAGTGGGTGCCTAGTAAGTCCCAGGAACTTTCTCAGCGTGGGGGATGGCATGGAGATAGATAGACCCGGTCCTGCCCTCATAGAACTGACAATCTAGTCGGAGAGAGAGTCTTACAGGAGCAAGTCAGTCAGGAGTCAGTAAGGAAATCCAGACAGTGGTGAGTGCTATGGTAACAGGGAAACAGGAAGCTGTGAGCGGGACTGAGTGGGGTTGGCTTTGGTGGGTAGGTCACAGGTGGCTCCTCTCTGAGGAGGTGGCAATTGGGGAAGGCCAAATCATGAGAAGGAGCTAGAATCTGAAGAGCTGGGGGAAAAGCATTCCAGACAGATGAACCAGAAAACGCCAAGTCCCTGAGGCCGGGACAGAAGAAGGTCTGCATAGCTGGAGTGGAGCGAGTTGAGGGTGGGTGGCGGGCAGCACAGCCAGACAGGGAACACAGCCAGATCCCTGAGGACTGTTGGGAGGCAGAGAGGAAGCGCTTCAGCAGGGGCGTGGCTTGGGGACACCCGGCTCTGGGTGTTGTGTAGAAAATGGTTTGGGTGAGGGAGCAGTGCTGGGAGACCACAAAGAATGGCCCTGTGATTCCTTCCACAGATGGTTCTCAGGACCAGCACTGTTCTAGTTTCTGAAGACACAGCAGGAACAAGGGTGGCAAATAGGCAGAGTCCTGTTCTCCTGGGGCGACAGACAATAAACGAGTTAAACAAAAAAAAAAAGTCCCAAGAGAGAGGAGTGCTCTGAAGAACACAGAACAGGGCGGTGTGAGGGAGTGCCTGGGGGCAGGGGTTATTGTGGACGGGCTGGCTGGGGAAGCATTCTGAGGAGGGGACAACCGAGCTGAGACCTGAATGATGAGGAGATGGGCAGACAACGTTAACGCGGAAGCTCTGAGACAGGAACTGCTGGGTGAGTTCAAGATCAGAAAGGTGACGGTGTGGGGGTGGGAGATGTGAGAAGTCAGGGAGGGAGGCTTCTGATCCCAGCCTCGACACCCCTCTGAGCTTCAGTCTTAGCCTCCAGAGCTGCTCCGTCATCTCCCCACCTGCTGCTGGACCCAGCGGTGAACGGTCCATGGCCCTAACCCTCCGAGGGTCGCCTGGACCCAGCCCTCTTGTCCCTGCCCTCAGGCATCTGTGGCTTCCTGACCTTTGGAGCTGCTGTGGACCCCGATGTGCTCCTGTCCTACCCGTCGGAGGACATGGCTGTGGCCGTCGCCCGTGCCTTCATCATCCTGAGCGTGCTAACCTCCTACCCCATCCTGCACTTCTGTGGGCGGTGAGTCCCCTCTCCACCCCACCGGGGTGCTCCCTTTCACCAGGGCCTCTGAAAGCCCTTTGAACATGGGCCTTGTGTAGAATCCATTTTATAGAAGGAGAACCGGAAGTCCAGAGGAAAGAGTCAGTGCCTCGCATGGCCCTGCAAGTACTCCCAGCCGGGTCTTTGGGGGTCCCCTTTGTCCCAGAGTCACCAAAACATTCTGTGAGTCCTCTGAGAACCTCTAGTCCAGATCCTTTCCTGAACACCCTGCTTTCTGGGTACCCCAGACCCTTCCTTTTCAGGAGACTAGTAGTATATGTTCCCATGGGGTGTGCTAGTCCTGGGCCAGGCAAGGCACTAAGCCGTTCCCACTCACCATCCCGTCCGGTCCCCACGGCAACCCTGAGAAGAGTGCTGCTAGGCCCATTTCAAAGAAGAGGAAACTGAGGCCCAGGGGTTAGAGGCTTACCTACCATCCACCCAGTCGGGGGTCTGGCTCCATGGCTGGAGGTGGGGAGCTGTTAGCAGGGGCGCCTCTGAGCCGCTCTCTGTGTGGGCAGGGCGGTGGTCGAAGGCCTGTGGCTGCGCTACCAGGGGATGCCGGTGGAGGAGGACGTGGGGCGGGAGCGGCGGCGGCGAGTACTGCAGACGCTGGTCTGGTTCCTGCTTACCCTGCTGCTGGCGCTCTTCATCCCTGACATCGGCAAGGTCATCTCGGTCATTGGAGGGCTGGCCGCCTGCTTCATCTTCGTCTTCCCAGGTGTGGACCCCTGGCATCCCCTCAGCACTCTCTCCCAGGGCCTCCTGGCCTGAGCGCGTCACCTCCCGGGTTATTGATCACCCACTTCAGGCTCTGGTGTGTTTAAACGTTATCTCCTGCAAAGAAGATGTAGTTGTCATCTCCATTTCACTGGTGAGGAGGTGTGAGGATCAGAGAGGGTAACAAGCTTGCCTAGAGGTTAACAAACTCAGCTAAAGACTAATAGAAGCTTTTCAAACCCAAGTCTGTCTAGGTCCACAGCCTATACCCTTAACTCTTCATTCAGGTACCTGTTACTCCCCGACTATCAGGGATCTGGGTGGGTCAGCCCATGACGGGGTAATTAGGGTCTGGTGGTGGCACCCTGACACGGGTCGGGAGACCTGAGTTTCAGACACGATCTGCCACCAGATCCCTGGGCAACTGTCCTATCTGCCCAGTCATGAGTTCTGCCTGTACCCAGCTTACTTCTCTCTAGGAGGCCACCTGGAAATCCCTTGCCACTTTGCTTGGAGCAAGGGGGACACATCTGCTCAGAAGTGCACTGGGAAGGGCCCTGCGATGTAGACACCACTGAGTCACCTCCCTGTGCTGCCCCTTTAGCTCTGGGGCTTGCATGCAGCCCAAGGGGTGCCTGGCAGGTGCTGGCTCCTCCTGGGAGACCAGATGCCAGGTGTCCAGCTGGGTGCAGAGTGGAGACAGGCGGAATGTGTGGAGGAGTAAACACAGGCCTTTCTCCACCCACCATCACTGCCTCCTGGCAAAGGGGGAGGCTGGACTGCTGGGTGGTGGTGGGGGGGTGCCCACCCAAGCTCCCAGGGCCACCTCTTCTCTTCTAGGGCTGTGCCTCATTCAAGCCAAACTCTCTGAGATGGAGGAAGTCAAGCCAGCCAGGTAAAGCAGGGCCCGGCCTGTGGTCCTCTCAGGGAGGTACTGGATGGGGGGTGGCCTTTAAATGGATAGGAGTCAGGAGACTTGTGTACTTGGAAAAACTTTTTTGAATACTTCTTTTAAAATGTGTAACATGTTAGTTGTAACAGTTCAAATACTACTGAGGATTTGTTTTTAATTTTTTAATTTAATTTTATGTTTTTATACAGCAGGTTCTTAGTAGTCATCAACTACTGAGGATTTTAGAGAAAAAAATGGAAGTCCCTCTTACCCCACAGCCCGCTCCCCACCGCTCCCTTCTCCCGAGAGAGCTCCATGAGATCAGCACAGCCTGTGCCCTTGTAGACTGTTTGTGTGTGTGCACATGTGTCTGTGTACACAAAGCTATGCACGCGTATACACAAACACATGGGGTTTTGTGTCCGGTTAGGTTTTTTCAAAAATGGTTTCATGCCAGACACACTTTTGTGCTACTTGCTTTTTTCGCTTAACCACGTATTTTGGAGATCATTCTATGTCCACACAAGAAGACCTACTGCTTCCTTTTTCCATGGCCGTAGAATATTTTGCTGTTTGAATGTGTGCTGAATGTGAACACACTTCTGCATGTACACCTTGGCACAGCTGTTCGAGGATCTCAGTAGCATCGATTCTTAGAAGGAAATTGCTCCATCATAAGGCACGCTCATTTTTACTCTGGCACACGGGTTCAAATTACCCTCCAAAAAGGCAGTACCAGTCAGAGTCCCAGAAGCAGTGAATGAAAGTACCCTGTTCCCCACACCCCTGCCAGGACTGTATATAGCAGCCTTTTCAATATTTGTTAGTCTAATGGATACAAAACACTACATGTTTAAAAAATTAACCATTTTTACCATTTTAAAGTGTTCAGTTCAGTGATATTAAGTTCACTCATATTTTTGTGTAACCATCCCCACCATGTACCTCCAGAACTTTTTCATCATCCTAAACTGAAATTCTGTACCCATTAAACAGTAGTTCCCCATTCCCTCTCCCCTCGCCGCCACCATTCTACTTTTTGTCTGTGTGAATTTGACTCTTCTAGGTACCTCATGTAACTGGAATTATACAGTATTTATCTTTTTGTACCTGGCTTCTTTCACTTAGCATAATGTCCTCAAGGTCCATCTATGTTGTAGCAGCCTTTTTAAGGCTGAATAATATTCCATTGTGTGTATAGGCCACATTTTGCAAAACACTGCATTCTTTTAATACGTGCATGTCCCTGAATGGTAGAGAAGTTATGACCAGGTTGCATGCTTTTAAAAAAAATATTGTGCAAGTAATACTCTTTGATTATAGAAGACTTTAAAAATACAGACAAGTCTAAAGAAGAAAATAATAATCACCTTTAATATCCAGATATAACCAGGAAATTTCTTGGCGGTCCAGTGGTTAGGACTCTGCTTTCACTGCTGAGGGCATGGGTTCAATCCCTGGTCAGGGAATTAAGATCCCACAAGCCAGGCGGGCAAAAAAAGGAAAAAAAAAAAAAAAGAAAGAAAAAATTCCAGTTGTAACCCTGTAGCTATTTTTGATACATATCTTTGCAGATGTCTCCTTTTTTATTTATTTTTTTAATGAAATGGATCACTCCATGTGACCTGCTTTTTCCTGACCATCTTTCCATCAGGAGATATGCATTCTTTTTTTTTTTTAATATTTATTTATTTGGCTGTCCCAGGTCTTAGTTGCAGCACGTGGGATCTTCCATTATGGCATGTGGGATCTTTTAGTTGTGGCATGCAGGATCTTTAGTTGTGGCACACGGGGGTCTTTAGTTGCAGCATGCGAGCTCTTAGTTGCGGCATGTGGGATCTAGTTCCCTGATCAGGGATGGAATCCGGGCCCCCTGCATTGGGAGCTCGGAGTCTTAGCCACTGGACCACCAGGGAAGTCCCAGGAGACATGATTCTAATTCTGGTCCTGCCCTTGGTGTGCTGTGACCAGTCAATTAATCCCATTAGGTCTTGGCCTCTTTACCCATGGTCTAGGGATCATACACCCAGCCCCATAAACTGTTGTATGAAAGTCGTTGAGAAGTAGGAAGTGCTCTTCCCATAGGAGAAGTGGTACAAGTAATTAGAGTAATTAACTGATATATATATATAGAGAGAGGTTGGCAAATTCACAAGTGGATCAACTGACCAGGCCCTCTCTCACCCTCTGCTCTACAGCTGGTGGGCGATGGTCAGTTACGGAGTCCTCTTGGTCACCCTGGGAGCCTTCATCTTCGGCCAGACCACAGCCAACGCCATTTTTGTGGATCTCTTGGCATAACCAGTGCCTCCCAGGGAATTCTTGGCCTTTGCCATTGGACCCTGGAACCCATCTCGTAGAGCTTCAGGACCACCCTGAGTCCGGCATCATTCCCCTCTACTGGTGGGATGACATCTGGACATCCTTTTCCAGGGACAGTTCTGGGGTGAAATCAGGCCCCACAACCCTGGACAGTTCAAACCCAGCTCCCTTCCTGCCCCCGCATCCTGGCAGTGCCATGGATGGTAGGAGGAGGTCTCGTGTCACAGAAGAACCTTCCCCCCTCTTCCACCTCTCAATTTCTCCATGCCTGGAAGCCACGGGTGAAGAGAGTCGGTAGGTCTCCGAAGGAACAACTCAGCCTGACTTCCCTCTGGAGAAAGAGTGTGGACCAAGGGCTGCCATCCTCCACAGAGAAGCCTGCCCTGGGTAGGGGCTGTGCTCATTACCCCGGGGCTCAGTGCCTGCTCCAGTCTGTCGGCAGCCCAGCCAGCAGTGGCTTCCTCCGGCAAGTTCCAAAGGTAGCACTGAAATCATACAGGTGCCCCGAGGCAGGCAGATGGATGCCTTGTCCACTGCCTCCTGGGCCTGCGGTGAGCCTGAGAGCCCTCTTGCCCATGGCTGGTTGACATTTCCCAAGCCTTTTGGGGCCTCACCCTGTCTTCTTACCCAGACCTGATGGTCCAGGCATCCCTCTGCTCCTCCATCCCCAGACATCACCAAGTCTAATGTTTACAAACGGTGCCAGCCCGGCTCTGAGCCAGGGGCCAGGGGCCGTCCCGTGCCACGGTGCTGTGAGTACTCCTCCCTTAACTTTCCCCAAGGCCGGAGTGTGCTTTTCTCTCTCAGATTCCTGATGGGTCCCTCTTTTCAGAGGCACAAGGTGGGGTGAGGGAGCAAGCTGGGAACCCCATGCAGGCTGGGCTGGTGAGGATCAAGGTGAACCTGTCTGGCATCTTCACTTTGAATGGCTGCTTCTCTTCTCCCTGCCCTGCACGTCTCCCCTTCCCTGCCAACCCAGCCTGGTACCCTGGAGACAAGAAAGGCAGCTGGGTGGCCACTGACTAGGCAACATCTGAGTGTAGTCACGCCAGCCTACAAGTTTCCCTTCCAGTCTGGATCTCGTCTGCTCCTGTCCCCCATCACCTCTTCGCCACCACCCCATTTTTCTATGTAGCTCAGTCTCTCCTGTTCACATAAGTATGGGGGTGGGGGTGGACCAAACCCTCTCTCGTCCACTTCCTCAGCTCCACAGGTCTACCAGGCCTGGCCTCGGCGGCCTGTCGATCACACTGAGGTCACACCTACGTTGTGCCCCAGGCGGGGTGAGGAAGGATATTTTCCCCTTTCATATCTTGAACACCTTGGCCACTCACTTAGGCCAAGCCTAGGCACCGAATCAGGCTTCCTCTGCCTGGAACACCTAGCGTTCTCCCTGGCCCCTCCTGCCTAAAACCTCTGAATGCAGTGGTGGGGTGAGAGGGATCCCTGCCCTCAGGACAGTGAGACAGAAGAAGCAGAGCCTTGGGGGGCCAAACAGGCTTCTGCTCAGACCCCCGGACTGGGTGACCTGCCTTTCCTCACGTTCCCTGGGGGCCAGACCCACGTGGCCGTTTTCTCTCCGCCTGCTGCACAGCACCAGGCCCTGCCAGTGCCCACCCCAGATACGGTCAGGAGGATGGCCCATCATCAGCAGGGCTGCACTGCCTCCTAATGTTGGATTTCAGTGAGGGCTGGGGGCATGTACGGGGAAAATGAGCTGGAATCTGGCCTAACCTCAGGAGCACCTTCCCCTGCCCTCTCTGCCAGGGCATTTTACTGTTTCTTTTCTACTTCTGCACATGCAGACCAGGGAGGATGGTTAATAAAAAGGGACTTGTGCTGCTGAGCTGCGTGGCCTGTGTCTGGTGCCAGGGACAGTCCAGGCCACTGACAGGAGGAAGAC